CCTGTGGAGGTCCCAGGAATCTGTTACACTGTGTTATTTGCTAAGGAAGTGGCAAAAAAATAATTATGGCTGGATTGAACAGTCAGTTTAGGGTATAAATCACAAAAACAATGTGAAAAATTCTGAGCAGCCCCATGAAATAGATCATAAATGCCTCATACAAAGACTTACTTGTTTTGGAGGTTTTTCCTCTGGTGTTTATTCGTTTGTATTGGTAGTTTTTTTTAATCTTTGGTATGTTCACAGAATCATGAATGCCGTTCCAGACCTGGAACAATTAARTATGAACAACTGTATGAAATACATTTTTTTACACACCTGGTAAAATGGAAAATCTCTTTTCAGAAAGGGGCTAGGTTTTGATTACTCTCAGGTTTTGGCTTCTGTTCTCCTGTAGCTTTTGCTGCCCACAGTTACACTGGATCTGGCAGCTTTCCTCATTCAGTGCAGTACAGAAATGCCACCTCTTACTGTAGGTGCCTTGCAAGTTGGATTCATCAGGGAAGTCAGAGTGAGGTGAAGAGGCTCAGTACTCAGCAGGAAGAAAATGTAGATTGTTTCATGGAGATACAGAATATTTAAGTGCTACAGCCAAGGTTATGCAAGAAATTACCCCACAAGTCAGGGCTGTGCGTCTCTAAACTGCACATCAGCAAGTCAAGAGGGAGCTGTGCTGTGCTTTCAAAGAAAAGAATGAACTTCCAGTGTTGGACTATGAGTTAGTAAAGCTGATTTTGATCTAGGAGGTTGCTTGTGTGCACTCCCTCCCCACCTCCCTCTCTCCCTGGGTTCATCCTTCACTCCATGGATATCCCTTTCTCTTCCATTTGGATGAGCCACAGGTTCACAAAGGGAGACTGGAAAGGTGTCCATCTGCAGTCAGTGAGGTGGCATTTTTACCTGCACTGAGTGGCCTCCAGTGAAATGGCAAACCTGTCTTTGTGCTGCAGCAGTTGCTTGTCTCCATGGAGTCATGTGCATCTCAGTAGGCACCTTGCACGACTTTGAGTGTGTCCTCTGATTTTACAGCAGCTTTGCAGAAACTCARTTCAAAGAGGCCTGGATACTATTCTGTTTAGGTTGCAAAGCCCTTCCCTCATAGTCTGAATTGAGTCAGAGATCCCTTAGGACTCCTCTCAGTGGACTCACCCATGCAGAGTMTGGGAGTCTTGGTGCTGTAGCCACTAAATATCAGAGGTGTTTTTGTTGTTTTTTTTTTTTTTGGAAAGCAAGAGAGGGAAAGAGAATGCATTTTTCTGTTTCAGACCAGAAAAAAAGGGTCAGAGATTCCCCAGGTAAGAACAGAATTATATGAAATTTTGTCTGCTTGACATGAAATGATCCTAAGGTAGTTTTACAGCAGTAATTCACCTTTCAGAGAACTGCTTTTGTAAAATGCAATAGTTTCTATTTTTCTTGTTGTTAATGTCTTTAGTGTCTGTGGATGGGAGCCGATCTCATTGTTTCTCATTGCCATGCGAATATTTGCATTACTAGTTGTGACCTTGTTCACAATGTCTGCAGYTGCATTTTTAAATATGGTGCTTCTTCCTTCAGGGAAGGGAGAGGGGRAGGTAGACTTGGCAGTATTTTCAGATATTCTCTAATACGTGGTATTTTCAAATTGTGATTTGCCTGTAATGTGTGTGACTTTGTCCTTGCAGTAAGCCAGGTGTTTGGTGTAGGGCTGTAGATCAAAACAGCTTTTCTCTCTTGTGCTTGTATAGCTGAAGAAAACATTACAGAAAAGAAAGGAGGTGTTAATTTTGATTAGCTGGAGAGCTAACAGTGCTCAGATATATGGTCTACAGCTGTGTGCTTTACCTCATCACTGCTGGTCATTCCCACTAAACATCTTCCAAGACCATGTCTGCAAGAGATGTGTGGAAAGGCCATATTTTGGGGCTAGTTATGGGCTATATGAAATGCACTCTGATGAACACCTGCTCCCAAACACCACATTTCTTCCGTTATGTGGCTTTAAGTGAAACCCAAACCCATAGTTAGTGTTTCTTGTATTTAATTGGCAAAGTAGGCTTAGAGTGCACACACTGAATACTGGCTAAATGCCATAAAAACTCTGCATACTTTGCAAAGAAAAATTCATATCAGAATTAACTCTCTGGAGACTTTTTTCCTCCCCTCACCCCATTGCAAAGCTCAGGCAGACAGAGCCTACAGTGCCAGCAGATCACTAATGCAGAGAAAATTCTTGTGCAAGATTTATACAACAGTTTTGAACATGTGATGCCAAAAACATGGGTAAACAGAGCCGTCACAAATATGTGTGAAGCCCTTGCATCATGCAATTCCTCTGAGATCTGCAAATTATTCCCACCTCTAGTAATCWGTTCAGAACAATTGCTGCTGCCCAAATCTCACATCAGCTAGGAAGTCACTGTTAACTTTGAAATTCTGTGGAGTTCTGGTTTTGACTGAGCTTGTGCTTAAAGAAAAAGCAAGTGAGATTATGGAAACAGTTACAGATAGCTACAAATCCACGTGTTACTATATCTACCTTCATTTTTAATTTAAATCATTACATTAMCCAGCAGGATAGCAAAATGGTGGGGGGGGTTGGGTTTTTTTTCAAAATAATTTCACATAATATTGTTCTTTTCCCCTTCCAAATTAATGGACTAGCTTTCTGAGCTTGAGGACATCCTCAGAGTATTTGGCTCTCAGCTTGAAGTGCATCCTTAACTTTATTAAAAGGTGGATAAGTTATCAGCAGTGATAAGCTTAATACTGAGTTTGCCAGCTGAGACTCACAAAGGCTTCAAATTATGTATTGCCACACAGATGGAATCTGCTCACAAACCCACATTTGTTACATCCTAGCATTGGCCTGTCCTGTCAGGTATCTTCTTTAGGAAAATAATCCAGGCTCTTTTCAAACCAGAGGAGGAAAGGCCCTTCTACAAGGCAAATCTCCCCATCCTAAGGGAGGGGAGATCCTCAAGGATGGTGGTCAATCCTTTGACATCAAACACAGAGGACCCTCCACTGCTGAGCGGGTGGCAGCCTGTAGGCCAGCCTTTTGTCAACATTGGGTGCAAAATCSTGTTTGAACTGGTGCTAGCTGAAAGAGTGTCAGACTACTCTTAAAACATGACCCCTTTTCCTGCCCCTAGACAAGACATAAATTTATCCTGGTCTGAGAGGTTATAAATCATGCTTTGAGGGGCCAGGAGAAAGGAATGTGTTATTAAGAGGAATCTGTACTCCATGTTTGCATTTCATTAACGCTAAGAGGCCCCAGTCAGGATGGGGATCTGTGGAGATGTGACACAATGGGTGGATGCAAGTGAGAAGCAGAAGGGAGCTTGATTTTTGGAAGAGGTACAGGAGGGTTTTTGCTGGTCTGTTAGAGGAGAGCACCCCATACAAGTAAGGCAGCATAGAAGAAAGAGAGAGACAAGGTGGTGCACTCTCTCAAGTGCTGAGTGCTAAAAATGCATTTACCTGGAATATAATGGAAAACACATAAAAATGGAATGTGACAGGGACTATATCATACTGCAGTTCAAAATGCCTGAGTGGTGTTTGTTCATAGTTGATCTGCTAAAACCATGTTTTCTTCAAATTCAGCATGTTCAAGAAATGATAGAATGTCACACATCACCTATAATAAGCATGCCCCTTGGGTGCTTTTGTGTTAGAAAAGGCTTCAAATATCAGACAGTTTTCGTGTAGGTGTGTGCAGCTTTCTAATCAACCTCAGTGAAATCAGTCAATAGGTAATAGCATTGTTTCATCTCAGGGTACAAGCTGTCTTTTAGAAACAAAAATATTGGGATCTTTTTGATCACAGTAACAAAATTCTAATTTCTGTGTGTCTGGAGGCAAACAAATACCATTCAGAAATCTCAAGCACTTTTTACAGTTTGCAGGTAGTCACTTCAGTTAGTTTTAGCCATTTAAAATTTATGGGCACGTTGTCCAGAGTTTAAGCTTCCTCTGCAGTCCATGTGGAGAGAGTCACCACCAAAGAGGCTCTTTATCTTACTCGTTGGGGTGATAAGTTGAGTTGCTTTCTGTGGGCAGTGAAAAGCATCCTTGACAGAAATTGCCCTGACAAATCATAAGGCTGTGACTGCTTGTCCTTCCCTGGCAGCCTCCCTAAAGATTGCTAATGAACAACGCTACTGCGTTCTCTAGGTATTCTCTAAATGCAGCAGGGAGTAAGCTAAAAAACACTGTKGGCAGGGTGGAACTTCCATTTAACAGCAATTTAGACACCTGGTGGTGTCCAGCAACACTGGTGGCCCAAAACCTCATGCTCATCTCATGCACATTAGCCCAATTCCAGGAGTGCTCAGCTTGCCTCCAGCAATGTACACATGCACAGGAAGGAGCAAAACCTCCAACCTCCCCATTCTCTTCCTCCTACACAGTCAAACCAGGGTATCCAGAGCTGTTGTTCATGAGCAAGGAAAGAGGCACTCAGCATTCAGCCATTCACCCTCTCCTCAAGGAGAAGGAAGTGGCTTTTCTGAGGGCTTGAATAAGCACAGGGCCTCAGTTTAAGCTTCTCTGAAAAACAGCTGCTTCAAGGCAATATCAGGAGGAAATCTCATTCAGGACCTGATTTTATTGGACACTATATCAGCAATCTGTAATGACTCTCACACTCCAAAATCACTTGTATGCAATTAATGCCATAAGAAGTTCCTGCACATAAATTACATATTTTTAATGGAATGCACATGAGTTTTGCTAAAAATTAAGGTCACTTGATGGACAGGGCTAGGGAAACTTGCTTCCTGCCTGGCTGATTATGGGGTTGTGTATCTCTGAGGTATGTATTTAAACTCCAGTCTCTGTGTCAGTCAACAAAATACAGGGTCAAGTAATTAGTGTTTGTGGTAGCAGCAGATAGAGAGCTCAAAGGACTTGCCAGACCCTCCCTAGTCTTACTTCTTCCCACATACAAGTGTACTTACCAGCCAGAAAGAAAAACAGCCTCTGATCTGTATTTTCACTCTTATCTTTTCCAGCCACTTCCACATCTACAACTGGGACAAGTCATCTCACAAAATGTGACATAAAGCAGAAAGCCTTCTGTGTAAATGGGGGAGAGTGTTACATGGTTAAAGACCTCCCAAACCCCCCAAGATACCTTTGCAGGTAAGAAATCCTATTAGCTTCTTTTGTTGGAGCTACCAGATGTCACAAATGGTTTTTCTTTAAAGGAACACCTGAACAATGTYTTCTTCTGAACTTGCATTTCTTCAATTTTTAACCATTTGGATGTGGAGAGAAAGCCAACAATGACCTCTATGTTCTATACATGAGGCATAGCAGAGGCTAACTGGCAAATATTTCTATGTGATAGTGACATGGCATCTTCCATTGATTTTCATATGGCAGAGTAACACAGCTTGAGCCTTATGTTAGAAATATTGAAACAGACACTGTATACTAAATAYTCCTCATTTAGGAAAAAAAGAAAATGGGTGTGGTAAACTGCATTGAATAACTACACTTCATACAGGAGAGACTGTTATTTTTGTTGTCTGATGTAGTAACTGAACAATTTCTGGTGAGACAGGATTCACAGCTGTGTGTTTAATTGCATGAAAAACAATGACTGTCATGGTGATTGGTGGAGRTTATTATTTTGTGTGCGGATCTTGATTCATGAAGTCATGTGAGTTTAGTTTAACGGGGTGCTCATGCACCTTTTTTGTGGTCCTGGCTGTGCTGCAYTGGAGTGCTGCAATAGAGACTGTTTGCATCAGAGAACATCCATGAAGAGCTATAGCCCTGAAATTTACCTCCTTCCTGGGATCATGTCTTGTAACATTTACCCCTGAAGATGAACAAACCATAGGGACTGCTTCTCACCAGCTGGAGAGGAAACTCAGCATTTAAACCTTGGGAAACCTTGGCTGAGTGGAAAAGGTGTACTTTTGTGAGGATATCGCTGTTTTTCAGACAGAGAGATGGCAGTCAGTGAAGCCTGTCATCTGCTGTAACTGCATAATGTTTCAGTCTCCTAGGACTAGAAATTAAAAAACATAATTGTAAAGACAATTCTGGTAGGTGAGTTAGGTGAAGCTCTTTGATGCTTTCATTATGCCAGGAAGAAATTGACTGCTTGTTTCTGTTGGTTTTTTGTTTGTTTAAAAAAAAAAGGAAAACAAACAAAAGCCATTCAAAACAAAAACACCAAACCTCACAATGTTGTGGTTTACCGATACATTTTCTCTTTTTTTTTGTAGAAAAATGTTACATGCATGTCATGGGCCATGTTTTGCTTTGGATTTTCATGGATTGCTGTGCTGCTGAAAGCAATGAATGTTCTGTTGATTTTAGGATCATTTTTTGCTAAAGTGAATATGGAAAGGTTATATGTGCTCTGGGTTAGATTCTTTTTAGAAAAAGAGAAAGATTTGTGTTAAATTTACATGGTTGTTGTAAGGCAKCATAAAAGATGAGCAGTTTGCTATGACTCTCCAGAGTGTGTTCAAGAGCCTGCATGTGTCAGCTTCTATCCAAACACTGTTCAGAAAACTCCAGTGAATGGTAGAGCTGAGCATCTAGCAGACTTGCTAATCATTAACATTGTCTTGGCAGCTTCAGAGGTATCCCATCTTCACTGATCTGGGACTTCCTTATTTTAATTCACAGATCTGTGTACGTTCTCTGATGATGTTATAGACTGGCTAACATTTTTAATAAAATGCCTTGGAGACACTTGAATAAAATGGGTGCTGGTTTTCCCTATTGTTGACAAGAAATAGCTTGTAGTTCTGGGGCTGGATTTCAAGGACAAGGCAATTCCCAGATCAGGCMGATGTGTTTCTGCCTGGGTGGTCCAAGACCTATTTGGAAAAAGAATCAGAGCTCTAAAGTTAGGGTGAATCTCATTTACAGCGAGGCAGTGGAGAAGGATTCCTACCTTGAGAACAGTCARGACCACCACTATTTTGCAGGGCCTTTTGCTATGCCCTCTAATCCTTGCCAGACCCAAAATTTTATGTTGTATAGTAGAACTGGCTGCAATACGGCTACATAAGAAATAAAAGTGAGTAATTCAAAGTGGATGTACTGGGAAACTGAAGGGACAAAATTCAGTTTTCTTCTTACTACTTTAGAAGTATAGATGTGCACTTCTAATTCTAGCATTCCAGTTAATTAAAGTAAGTCTTCATTGTTCTAAGAAAATAAATCTACTCACAGAACATGCTTGTGGAAACAGAATGCTTGAAATATGGTACTTGCTCTTCATATTTCTGCCTCAGTAGCAAGTTCACATTTTTCCATATGGTCCATCTGTTGAGAGCAAAAACAAAATTTCTAAAGCATGAGCCATATCATTCTAAATTGGTTTTATCCCTAACCAAAAAAACATGACTCAGATKCAAAACAACCATGGAATTTTCCAAGTAATATCCATAGTTTTATAAATCCCCTGTTCTATTAAAAAAAAAAATTGAGATCCTAAATTCATCTTCAGCTAAATCTAGCTATATATTAAAAAAAAAAAAAAAAGTATTTTGTAAGATACATAGCAATGATCTGGGCAGGATCAGATCTTGGTCTTATGGATGCTAGTGTGAACTTTGAGAAAATTCCCTGCTTTCAAGACATAACCATGTGAAATGCTCAAGAAATGTGTGAAGAGTTAGTAAAGCATTGTRCAGCTACATGTAGGGTAGGATGTATGTCAGCTAAAATTATGTATYTTAATTAAGGCCCAAGACTGAACAAAACAGTCTCAAAATAGGACAGCTGAAATAGGAAGCTTTGAGACTACTAAATAAATAAGAGTATAAAATTTTCAGAAGCTTCAGAGGAACATGAACATTTTGAAAACATCATAGACTTAGGAAGCCTGGATGTTACTGGCTTCCTATGCAACAGAGATTCCTAAGTCATTTCTCTTCAATTGAAAATGTGTTCCCAAGTTCACTGTGGACAAAGACTTCAGTAAATGCAAAATTAAGAACAAAATATCTAGCATTTTCTTCTTACTTGAAGAAAAATCTAAATGAGTATAGTATCTGTGACATTTTTACAGTATCATACCATGAAGGCSTTGATAGCCTGACCAATTGATTTCTGACTTGCAGACATCATCTTTTCTAGCAATTTTGTGGTTACTGACGAGATTAAATTTATGTCCAAATTTCATTGGATGAAAATAATGCTACTCTCTAACAGGAAGTATGCTGCTGCTTTTCTCAACAGCAAAAGAATGAGTTTTGTACTTTTTAATTATATAGCCATTTTCTATATTTGTCTTCATGTAAAGGCCTTTGTAGAGTAGAAATGGGCAGAAGATTCTTCAAACCAGCATTTATGCAAGCAGAAGTTCCAGAGGTATTCATTCAGGAGACAGGATAGAAATACTAGTTCTGACAGACAATGAATATGAAAATATTCATTGCTAAATATGAAAGGATTCTACWTGCCATGGAAAACAAATCTTCTCCCACAATGTATTTGTTTTTAGGTARTGAATGAAATGGAAATGAAAGTTCAGTGTTCTGAGAAATGTCCACTGAACACATGCAACTGCTGTTCTTTGCCACTACTGTGAGTAGAGGGATACAAGCAATTCCATTATTTCAGTATTTTGGTTTTACTCACATAATGCAACAAATAAATGGTCCAAGTTGCCTTTTTGAAGGCTGAAGGGAAATTACAAGGCTCTCATAGCACAAACATATACCTTTTGCTCTAAGTTGTTGACTTCAGCTTTTGCTATGGTAATAAAGAAAAAAAYGGTATTTGGACAATGATCTAGAAAAGAAAGACACAACAAGAAATAATGCCTGAAAACTTTGAGTAGGACAAGGTGTTTGGGAAAGGACATCATCACAAGCTGATTGTAAGGTACAGTSTACAGGAAACAGCCTTCCAAGCTGCACGGGAAACAGTGCTTGCAGTGCACATCTGAGCAATAAAATGCCTCTAGCATTCACACATCATCATAAACAGACAGTCTCATCTCAGCTTTCCTCTCAGCTGGCCCACCCTGGGCCCATTCTCAAGGGCAGGTGCTGCAGCCCATTTGCTGACAATGGTTTCAGAGCGAGTATAAACACACCTGAACTGCTTTCRGGGCCACTCAACAGGGCTGACCCTGCTTGGTCTGGAAGTGATTTCAGCGTTGTCTACACCAGTGCTCAAGTTGTTTTCATCACCTCCACAGCTGCACCAACATCTGAAAACAAGCACAGACAAAGCAAGCAACCACCGGCTGCCAGTGACAAGAGGACAACGTGAGCCTTTTAATCATGTTCCTTGGGAATGTGTGGGGCTGAGCCTGACAAGCAAGGTGTAGAGGTCCCTCTGAACTGAAAGCCATGCATGTGCAAATGCCAGCTTTCCAGGAATAGCTATTTAACAAGATCACAATAGTGCAAAATACTTTCACTCTTGATTCAGTAACACAGATCAAAATGCCTTCTGTCAAAGGCATTTTGCCTTCTATCAGAGGTGCAAAAAGTATTCTGTCATGCCCAACAATAGCATCTTCTAATGACAGATTTATCCATATTGCATTTTTCTCAACTGAATGTATCAGTGAAGACTGGGACCTCTCCACACTGGGTACTTACACAAAGATGTGACCTTGGCTCTGGAGAGCTTAAACTCCCTTCCTTAATAAACAAACACATCATTACAGCAAATCAGCTCCAAAGAATCATCTGCAGATCCTCAAAATATACTTTTATTATACAAATATCATTCCTGCATGGTTTATTTAAACAAGATACTAGTGTTTATCCTTGACACTGAACTTCTGGCAAAGGGATTTTCTGGAAGTCTCACTTGTGCAAGGATAGCATCCTTGTTTTTTAGGGCTASAGGCAATTGAGAAAAAGCAGAATTYAACATATTGGGACAGCTTTCAGYATACATGAAACTCACATGGGTAGAAGAGATGGAGTATTCTTCTGACCAACGTGCACTTACAAATATCAAAAGAAGGCTTTTCAGCACCTGACAAGTAAATGATGACGTTTGAAACAGAGGCTAGCAGGAGAAAAAGAGTGGGAGATTCTGGCACATGGCAAACTCATGGGGAGCATTGCAAAGACACAAGGAAGTGTTCAAGGAAGCAGGTATCAGATAATTCCAGGTTACATGCTGAGCAAGAATGGAGAGATAATGGAGAAAGAGTAAAGATTGAAATCTATAGATACTTAGTGTGGTCATTCACACTTACATCTGAAGCACAGGAAGCCCGCATTGCCATGGTGATATTTTGGGAGCCCGAGCCCTGCCCCAGAATGGAGAATGAAGGTGAAGGAAGAATTGATGGCAGCGGAAAATATGGGCAAATCATAGAAGAGAAATTCCTTTTCTATGATCAAGGGGAAARCTACACTGAAGTTTTTAGCAGAAGAGCTTGTGAACTGAAAGCACAGACAACTTTGGGACTGCAAATCTTGAGAGCACTTCTGCCCTCTCATTTTACTTGTTGCCTGGRCTGACTTCTTTTCTTTTTGTGACCATGTTGAATATACTTCCCTTTGGGTTTGACTTTATCTTCTCACTTTTTGCAATTTTTTTCGTGACTTTTCTGTGATTGCTGTATTAACTATTCTTCCACAGAGCAGAATGCCAGAAGACACAACATGCCATCACAGAAATAGGGAAATCATGGTATTTTCATAGATTTTACGTGACTAATGAAAGCAACAGTGTAAATTGTTATACACTGCATTGCACATTTTAAAAAATAACTCAATCTGATCCCTTCATCAGGTGGAATAAGCGGTGAGGTGGTACACATTTTTGCTAGCCATGATTCTTCTTTCTTTTTTGTAACAGACAAGCCAAAAGACTTCCTTTTTCTCTGATAGATTTTTGCTGTAAATTGGGCAAAATTTTATCTTCCGGAAAGATTACATTTTCTTGCCTCTCTTCTGATCATTTTTCACTAACACCTAACCAGGAGGTCACTTAATGCACTCGCACTCCATAGACCAGCAGGTGTAAGTCTGTTAGTSCAGTGGTTTTGGTGTACCAATATTGCTTATCACGTTTTTGCCCTTTAGGTGCCAACCTGGATTCACTGGAGCAAGATGTACTGAAACTCTGCCCATGAAAATCCAAAACCAAGAAAGTATGTTAAAATAATCTGAACTTTGCTTTCTTCCCCAACTACAGCAACAAAATCAATAGTACTTGGTGTTTTCACAGTTCAGCTGGAACCGGCCTSTTTACTCACTAATTTATGACCTGATTTTCTGAAGTACAATCTGTACACCATGGCATTATTGACCTCCAAAATATTTCTYGTTTGTGTGATTTTTGATCTTTCCATTCATTCACAGATGCATTTGTTTTGCACACACTGGCAGTTTTCCTGTTTGGGAGACTGCTGAAATGTGCAACCCTAAAAGACCAAACTCATGGAGATGAGTATGTACGGATCTTGTGTCCTTGCTGCCTTGTGGAAAGAGCATCCTAAAACCAATTTGGGTCTCTGGAATGGTGAATTTCTCTCTCAGATCTTGAAACACATTTTGATCTGGATTGGTTTGTTTTTGGCTGGTTTTGCAGGGGGAATTTCTTTACATTTCACAGAGCAAATGACTTGCTCTCAACATCCTGAGCCATTTTGAAACGCTGAACCGAGATTCAGTTTCTGACAGTGAACTCACCAAGTCATATCAGTTCACACTGAAGGAGCTTCTTTCTTAGCATATATTCACCTCTTCTCTTTTCTCTGTTTTTTCTCTACCATTTTTTTTGTTTGTTTTTCCTCTCAGGTGCCCAAATGAATTTACTGGTGATCGCTGCCAAAACTACGTAATGGCCAGCTTCTACAGTACGTCCACTACTTTTCTGTCTGTGCCGCAGTAGAAGCATGCTCAGTCGGTGCTGCTTTCTTGTCGCTGCATCTTTCCTCCAATTTTAATTTTTTTTTAATCTGTAACTAGATTTGTTGCCTAAGGCCTAATATTGATTGTCTCTGCCTGTTGCATGAAAATTATAACAAAAAGCATTTGCAAATTATAACAAAAAGCAATCCTGGGATTTTTTGGCATTGAGGTTAAGGGAAAATGCAAGACTTAGGAATGCTGTGAAATTAACACTGAATGTGTGATACAGACTCCCTGCTGACATCAAGCAGAAAAAAGTACAAAAATGACATTTTGAGAGTCTCTCATTTTGTTCACCACAAAAAGATTTTAAGTTGTGATACAGGGCAACACTCCCTCAATCAAAGGATGGGTAGCTAGTCCTCTGCTTATACAYGAGATTTGCATTTGGAACTAGTGGTCGAAGGTAATTGAGGTGTTTGCATCATTTCTAAGGAGCACATGCTAAACAGGGTCAAAATGTTCTTCCACAGCATTGTCCGAGCTGCAGTGGAAAGAGCACAGAAAGAAAAAGCAARGGGGGAGAGGTGACTTAAACAATGTGGTCTGACATATTTTGGGTATATTGTTGGTAACAGATGCAAGAGATCAAAGATTAATTGGCCAAATGAAACTATCAGACACGCACATACACAGGCTGGTGGAATCAGCACTGCAGTCGCATTCTATAAGATTTCCCTTGGAGGARCAGGCTAATTGTTATTGCTTGGCAGGGATGTAGCAGAAGGTACACTATAGATTTATTTTTTCTCTTTGGCTATAGCAAAGCCAAAGGTAAGATATAACAAAATTCCTTAGACCTTAGATTTAAATGTGCTACTTACAATCAATTGTTGCTGGCATCAGAATGTACTGTGATCTAAACGYAGTATTATAGAAACTATTCTTTGCATGGATTACTTGCCAGCAAAGAAAGACTATATGCTACCTTAATTTAATTTCCATTGGTACACAGGGCAAAAAGCATGTGCTGGACATTTTAGAGCCTGAAGAGATGCACAGCTTTTCTCTTATACTGATGGATGAAAAACATCCATACATAATTCATACTGTCAGTCATGGAAGCTACCCAGGTAAATCCCAAGAGTGCTGACTGGAGACCAGACCTTCCAGCACTCAAGTGTGCATTTTACGCCCTGTTTTAAAAGCTTTATTAGTGTGAGTTATATTTAAATGCCTCTGCTAACTGTGGATATATATTTTTTTTTATGCTGTTACAATATTCGTTTATCAAATATTAGATTTAGGTGGCCTTTTCTGTGGATTGTGGTGAAAAGTGCAGTTAAGATTTTCTCATCTTAGAAGAATAATTTAAAAGGAGGTGGCATAAAAATATGAGATCCATTATTGCATGTTGATTATAAATTCATTTTCCAACCCAGGATAAAAAAAAAGGCATTTAAGTGGATTTTCCTTCCTTTGTTTTTCAGTTTTTAACCSCAGTTAGGATTTTCAAAGACACCAGATTGAGATTTTCAGAAGTTGCCTCCATGGAAAAGGCACAGATACCTTGCCTTGCTGCAAGAGTTACCCTCAGTTATTAGTTCTTAAGTTGGTCAAGCCCTTCCTCTCGGTGAAACGCAGAGGCAGGAGGGGATGCCACTGCCTCCCTTGGGCCACCCTGAGAGCCCTGGTCAATGGCCATGAGACTGGCACTTCTGCCTGCCCTGTATCTGCACTGCAACACCTGATTCCTTATACTGTTAAAGACCTCAAAATGACACTTTTGGAAAGGGACCAYTGAGGGCACATTTATACTTTAATTTAAAAAATCAGTTAAGAAGCATTTATATGATTTTTTATTATTACACCTAAAGCAGACCAGTGCATGCTATTTAACAGAGGACTTAGAACAAGAGTTCTCTAAAGGCAAATGTTGCATCTGGGGCTTAAAGCCAAGCTCATATTTTGCACCAAGTGTTGTGGATGATTAACTTAGCTTTGTGGATGCAGTTTTTGCAAAGTACAGAGCACAGTGGAATGCTAAATAGAAGAAGTGCCGTTAGGAAACCAAAGTGTTTGTGTGAACTATACAGHGCTATCTATTTCACTTGCTTTCAGAAGGGTCTTTCTTCATTTGGAAAGAGTCAGTGGGGTTTCAGGCCAAGTGTGCCCACTGATGAGCTGCTACTATATTAATTTGGCTGTCAGAGCATATTTGTCTTCAGGAGTCTGCCCTAGAGTTGCTTTTGGGGAGTCCTGAAATTACTGGGCTGAGTAAATCAGAACAAAGGCACCAGTGGGCATTCTGGAAGTGCCCTGTCTGGACAGAGTACAAGGCTAACTGGCTTGTCAACACATCTCATGGGCTGCYTGGCAGCCCTTAGTAGAGCCCTTAGTAGAGTCCTTTCCTTGAGATACCTGCTCTGCTACCCTGCCTTTTTTCTGTGACTGCTTTGAGGATCGTGATCCACCACTGGTCCATTAAGACAGCAGAAGGCAGTCCACAAATCACTGCAAAAATATATGTGTTCTATAAGTATTTGCTGTATCTGAATGTTCACACATTCACTCCCTTGAAGTCGAGGAATCAAGGCAAATGGAGGAGAGTAAAAGTAATGAATTACCATTAAAGGTTTGGGGTGGTTTTTATGTAGTTAGGCATGAGAGCTCTTACAGCAACGCTGTACAGAATGATCCCTGGAATAGGAAATAGTGATAAAGTTATGAATTAATAGAGAGTTGAGTATTCCTCTCTTGAGTTTAATCACAGGTAAATTCTTTGTCCTGTCAAGTGTCCCAGATGGACCAGGGACCCCACCCAAAGGGCTGGTGGACTTGCTTAGTTCACTAGTTAACAATTGCATAASTACTGTGAATTTAGAACTGCCTGGGTGCATGCTGTGGGCCTTTTGGCGCATAAACTGAACATGGTCAATGCCTTCCACCAGTTTAAACTGTGCCCATTTCAGCTCTGCCATCCCTGATGAGCAATAGGGACACTACCAAGAGGGACAGAAGGAATTTTCTGTTTAGATGATAGCCCCAACCTTATATTGACACGGTGAATTAGGCTGAGACAGTAAAGGAGGCAAGAGTTGAGAAAAGCTCCAAGTATTCTAGAAGGATGACAAAAACTGCAGTTACTTTGTGATGACCTTGATTTTTCAGTCTTCACATAAATTACAGGTCTTCRAAAGTCTGATTTTAGCTATTCTACTGCCTCACTATTTCTCATTTTCTACATATTTCTTAAATAGTTGCATCTGTATAAGGGTWCTAGACAATCTTACCTGAAATTTTCATTTTCTAAAGCCCTTCAGCACCCTAAATTATACACCCAGTGTGCTGAGATCAAGAGTCCTAAATTACACAAACAGGTTTGAAAAATGCCATTGTCCCTCTTTTTCTCAATGTTAAAAAAGACAGATTTTTACTATTAACTTCTCAGTTAATGTTAATTAAGTGCTAAAATTGCTATGATAGGGTAATTCAAATATGACAGGACAAATTTTCCATGCCTCTGAGATTTGAACCAAGTGTCACTTTTACAGTACTCAAAGGACTTAATACAAAAACCAATTTTGCAACTTGAGTACTATTGAAATGAACCAGATTTTGGATTCAAAGTGGATTTTAAATGTCACAAAGAGACKGTATCCCAGTCCTTAAAATAGAAATGGCTGACATGCAGGTGGTCTGCTCTGTGACAATTTAGGAGATTTTAGTTCATCTTCAGTTGAAATGCCTGAGGAAGAATTTGTATTTTTTTAGAATTTCTCATTACTCACAGAAAGAAACGTGACACTTTGATTCTTCAGAGTTGAAATCAGTCTCCCTGAACCTCTACACTGTTGCAGTTGATCCAATTGGCCGTTCCTTTGTCAGGTGCAAGGTATCTACAAAAACCTGAGGTAGTGCTTAGCACYGTATCTCCAGGCTGCCCATGCACCTGAATCCATACAGCAGGCACCCCAGAGTCTTGGAGCATGCAGTTCTGGAGGATCCTGTTCYACATTTCCGTGCACCATCCTCCTGCTCTGTAGAACCTGCATCTCAGCAGTCTGCAATATAGCCAACAAGTTGTAGGTTTAAAATCACTTTGGGCGAAAAAAAAGCAGCTTCTTAAGTATTTTCTGCAATATTCTCAATGTCCCCCCAGTCAYAACCAGAATGAAAACTGAGTTGTCACAAATAATAAATTGTATTTATTCTTAGAGCACCCAGAGACAAATATTCAATAGAAGCCACACTGCATGTAAAAAGTAGGCAACCATATCAGGCTAAGTAGAAAATATTAAAAATAATCACCTGTTTATAAAAATAGAAGTGTTGGGATATTCTGCTTATCAGGTCTAGAGAATGTAACTAGGAATACCAGAGATAAGTAAGAGCTACGTGACATCCAGGTTTGAATAAGCAATGCATGTTTCTTCAGCATGTTTTCTTGTTAGGCCTTTCAACCAGAATATATTCACATCTTAAATACCATCTTCCTATTGAATTATATGAAATAGAAACTGCATGATATGAATGACTTCCCTAAAATTAAATTACCTTTAAACTAGGTGTCTTACCTATAAGCGAGGATAATTACAGCAATATATATGCATGGGCATGTCATTCATTTTATTGAAGACTTAATCAAGCTTTCTTATGCAACTAATGTGTATCATTAGCAGAGTTCAGCTAGGCATGTGATACTGGCTCTTTAGGAAGAGACCTGGATGGATTCCAGCTTGCTTAATCCTTAAAATGTTACTGATTGGCAACAAAGAATTGACATTCCCCACGTGTGCAAGTGACATTAAAAAATCCATTTGCCGTGAAAATTGACATTGGATTTAAATTTCACAGCACACAGGAAAAAAAAAAAAAAGGAAAAATCTACCGTGGCTGTGGTGTTGGCCCCATGGGAGGGGTCCCCTATGGGGGAAACTTGTGTTCCTCCTTACCCTCAGCTGTTGGGACCTGGGACTGCTGATTTAGGCATATGATTTGCGCAAAGAAATCAGACRCTGCACCCCAGGGTCCATCCAGCTGGTCAACAAGTTGTTCTGCCAAGCACAGTCCAAAGACAGGGGAAAAGGGCTTGTCTCCTCATTTTCCAGAAGCCAGAAGCCTCCTGCAGCCAATCTGMAAAGTAGAGGAGTGCCATTACTGAGTAAGCAGTGGCAGCCACCTCCAGGTCACAACCTATAAGAGCAAGGATATCTATTCTGGGGACAGAAGCAGGGCCAGGAGGCAGAGTGATGCACAGCCCATTCACAGGGGTATGCTGCTCTTTGTAGAGCATCCCTTTGCTGTCATGGTCCATGTGAAACCAATCAGCCATTGCCATGGCATGGTCAGGCCATAGCCCTGTTCATCTCAAAAAGATCTTTAAGGGTTATTGGTTCCTGCTGCATTCCCTGGACTGTGGCTGCTCAGATCCCCCATATATACATACTTTTGTGTATGAGCCTTGCAGAAGGTCTGGTCACGTACCTTAGAAAGGTGCTCTTGASCACTGCCCACTTAACCAAGCACCCCTTTGTCCTGTTTCATGTGCAGACACAGAAYAGCTGTAATTCTCATATGTAATTTTGTTTTTAAGTACAGTGTATTGCTCTTTTCTGAAACTTTTTCATTTTTCTTTCTTTTTTTGACAACTTTCTGCATTGGCAGAGCATCTTGGGATTGAATTTATGGGTATGGACCAATCATTCCTTTTAGCCTGCAGATTCTAGACCCTGAGAGATAAACCCCTTTTTATTTTTTTTTCTTCACTTCACCTTTTCAATTCTTAACCAATTTCTTTATGCTTTAGAAGGGATCATACAGCTATAACAACAACCCTTGTCAAAGTGTTAGCAGAGATCAGTTCACTAAAATGATAGTATTGATAGGATATTCCAGACCTAAGGAGTTCTAGGAATTACTGAAGTGATCACTTTGTAGTGTACACTCCTTTTACTGCTGTGCAGTTTTGACTAGTTTTGATATCTGCTTTTGGCGAGTTCTTCTAGGGCTGACAGGTTTTGGAAACACTGTAAGCGTTAAGCAAAATGACTAACTAGTATATGAAAAAAAGAGAAACTGTTATGGCCACTTAAAATTCTGCAAATTTACAGTTTTGAGCTCTGCTTTTCATGTAAAAATTTATCTCYAAACCCACATCTAGGTGGTTGCACATCATCTGTAAATCAGTTGCCTGTACATATCTGTAAATTATATGCATATATGCATTCCTTTCCAGATCTGTAAATTCAAAGTAGATTGAATTTAGGAATTTAAATAGAAGTTTACACCTAGCTTCCAGATCCTTGAGTCAGCAAATATATTCAAAATTTCTGTAACTAAACTCAACAAGAACGTTGGTAGGGGTTACTATTTTTACACTTCAACTTCAAATATAATAGAAGTAGATCTTTTAAGTCTTACTCATCAATAGACTGTACTTATCTGGCAATCTATTTGTGTTCAGGGGTACAAATAGTATATTTCTTGAATAGGCTAACTTGAAATTCAGGTCAATTTTAGTTTGGAATCTCCTATAATTGTCGTTAAATGAAAAAAACCAGATGGTGACACAGTTTTAGTTCACCTTCTTATTAAAAATGCCCCCACAAAATGTCATTAGCTAAGCTGTGAACTGTGGAAAACGCATTACAACTCCAAATTTTAAAAATCATTCACATCCTAGTTTATTTTTGTTGTTATTATTATCATAGAGTAGTGTTAATTCCTACTCATAAGTATTAGATTGTAGTAGAAGATACATAGCTACATTAACATATGAGGAGTTAAATTAAAATCCTTCAAAAAACTAACATGCAAATTTTGCTTTATTTATGAAATGACATCAGCACAACAACCTCTTGGAATTTAATTCTTTTTAAAATCCCCAGAGATTTGTAAGAAAAAAAAAACAAGAGCAAACTTAAGTCCTTAAATATCATCCATTATGTATAAATTTGAGTGATGTGAAATTAATTGCATAATATGCATATTTGAAAGGCTGCAMATTTAATATCTTGACTCAAGTCTTATGTTGATTTGATTTGATTTCCTAGCATTCTGTAGGGAAAAAAAATATTGAAATTATTTTAGTGCTTAACAGGCTAAAATATTTTCTAAAATCTCCCTGTACATACAGTTCTTTACAGACTTTCCTGCAAAGCTGCTATAAATGTTTTTCAAGTTGGTTTGATCAGCACGTGTTATTTAGCTGGGTGTCATTAACTGGCTCCGTAAATGTTAACCCCGGTCAGAGAGAGAAGGCAGTTTTGGGGCAAGATGTGGTATAAAACCACAAGTGCCCAAAGGATTTCTATGCAAGACTCTTGATCTTAAACAGAGAGTCCAAAAATAAGGCAGGTCTCTTGCCCTCGAGGTACAGTGCCATCTGCAGAGCCTTCAGAATCCCAGTCCTGTCCCAGCCGCCAGCATCCCCCATCACCCAGTTTGCCCCCTGCAGACACCAGGGCATCCCCCAGCTGTCCCCTGCTGTCCTCTGTCAGCCAGAGCATCCCCCAACTGTCCCCTGCTGTCCCCTGACAGCCAGAGCCCGGCCAGGTTTCCATGAGAGCTTGCTGGTTTGCAGGGCATGCCGTGCCTAGGTGCCTGTGTCCTCTCGGGCAGATTCTGCCTCCTTTGAGGGAGGGCACAGCAGCACCACCGCTCATGCGCTCCATGTCRAGCTGCCTTGTCCTCAGGGTCTTGTTTCCAAGGGCACAGGAAGGAAATAAGGCTATGAAAGCAGATCCAGGGGGTTAATTTTCCATGCCCATCAAGACCTACACTCCCAGCAGACGTGCTGGTGTTAGGAGCATTGCCCATGGCTGCACCCACAGCCCTGCTCCCTCTCGATATCCCCCGTCCCCTGAAGAGAGTGAGCACACAGAAACAGCATAAACAACAAGCCTCAGCCCCCTGGCAAACTCACTCAGGCCATCACTAGCCAGCTGCCCAGCTCATTTGCAACAGCCTCAGCCTGCAGCAAACCTCCTGGAGTCAGTGAATTTTTTCCTTCAGTATAAACAACTGAGCAGAGTGTCCACTGTTAATTAATCTTCTCCCTCCTTTCCCTTGCCTTCCAAAACAAAGGGTTGATATGTCATTATTCATTTTGCTTTTGTAAGCTAACAGCTGACAGCATGACAATAAAAAAAAATAATAATTCAAAGCATTTCAAATTAGCCCCTAAATTGCTTAGCACAATTTTCCTGTTTCCTGTGACATCCTTGTAATACACCATTTCCATGGCTAACTAATAAGCGCTTTCAGAAGGGGCAAAAATGGGAAGGGGATCAAGTGCCACTAACTAGCCTAGGTGAGGAGTTATGCTGTATGAGAAATCCCTTCACACTCTGCTTCAATCTTTTTCTTTGTCCCCAAGCATTTCTTCTCTCTGTTTTTTCCAGTTCCAAGCATGCTGTGCCAGGCCTGCAGTTGACTTCTCTACCCTTTTTATCCTGTCTTTTTCCTGTATTTCMCCTTCCTGTTTTTCTTTGTCTTGGTTTGGTTTGGTTGGTGTTTCAGCCCTTACTTCCTTCTCTTTTTCAACTTTCTGTTCTTGGAGTTATATTTATTTTTCTTTAATACATTTTTGCAGCATCCTAGTTTTACCAAACTCACTTCTTCTCTCCCCTTCCCCCTCTTTGTTAATAATTAGTGCTATTAATTTTGTCTGACAGTGCTCATGACCTGTTTGCTGGTGTTTGTTTTGCAGTGGGTTTGGCTTGTAGGACAAAAAACTTTTTCCATGGTGTGGTGCATTGTATCAGAGAAATCAAGAATTATTTTTGCCTTTTGGATTGTTGCATGGAGTATTTGCCACTTGCCCACAGCAACTTTAAAACAAAAGCTCAGGAAACACATTGGAGGGAAGACTGCTCCCTGTTCAATAAAGAGCATTTTCTCCTCAACTGATGTGTCATTTATGACAGCACATCATTTGGACAGAGACATATGGCACATATAAGAGACCACTGTGCACCTCTATACCTCCTGGTGAATTGCCCCAGAGATTTTACGTGCTCATGTAAGTCCCTTCCAGCAGGAATATTGCTGGCATTTATCCCAAAGGTGGTGCAAAGCTGTGCAGCTCTAATTCATTCATTTATTTTTAAACACCTGCTGGTATTCTGACTGTGGTCAATATTTCAGATCACTATTGGTCTGTCTGCTTAATCARAAAGAAGACTTGAGTAAAGCTGGACATCCATTTTTGTCCTAACAGCAGGTGCACAAATCCCCATCTGTAAAGCGTCAACACAGAATACGCCTCTGTTTCAGAGCTCCTTACATAACATTTCCCCAGCAGAGCACTCAGCACTGTTCTTGCCAAGCATGAGCGAGGCTGGAAAGCATCAGTAGCCCCATCCCAAACATTAGCAGGGCTACTAACACCTTTATGATAGTGAAATATCTACGCTGAATCAGATCAGTGGCAAGTTGTCATCACAGAGCAAGCTGCCACTCTAGATAGAGAGTTCCTTTGTTGGTCACAAAGGGATATGAGTTGAAACTCTGCATTTCTCTCATACAAGGCACTGCTGGTTGTTGATACTGCTGTGTTTTAGGAGGAGCACTGAAGGAAGAATCTGAATTTTATGACCAGAGCTCAAAACTTGTCTTCATTTCCATTGGTGATACAATTACAAGCCAAGCTCATGTCTCAAATGTAGAAGAGTATTTTGAAATCTCTCCTGTAAAGACAGCTGAGATATAAATTGAGATGGGACCAGAGGGATATTGGATATGAAAACAATCCAAAACAGATAATAACAAAATAAATTTCTCAGAAGACCTGTAAAAATGGCTTTCATTCCAGCTGTCTTTGCAAAACTTCCAAAGCATTTGCAAATTCATGTTATTACCTTACCACACTGCATTTTTATTTCCAGCAAATGCTGTGTTTGTCAATTATGAAGTTGTTTCTTAAATATTATTCTCATTCACTTAAAAAAAAAGTGACTTTTGACTGTAATTGTTCTCATCCCCAGTATTGTGTTAAGAGTTTGTGGTGTAGTCCTGTTTTCCCTGCAGTCAATCCTGAGTCTGCCTGAAGCGTGGTGGCTGTGTCTCGGTGTGGCTGTGTGAATCCGTGCAGTGGTTTGTAGCATGCCAGCTCTTGACTGTGTGCTCCTTGCCTAGCCATCCTCCATGTTGTGACTTTCTCTGTTTTTGTCCCTTTCTAGAAGCTGAGGAACTGTACCAGAAACGGGTGCTGACCATAACTGGCATTTGCATTGCTCTTCTAGTAGTTGGCATCATGTGTGTGGTGGCCTACTGCAAAACCAAGTAAACTTTTCTCTTCTATTTTATATCTGTGGTTGTTGGTCAGGGCCTTCCCAGTTGACTGTAGCTTCTCTGGGCATAAGGTTTAACTGGGTTTCACCAGAGGTGAGCTTAAGAGACAAACTTGTGATCGGGGTGCTCTGATTAAAGMCGGATGACATGCAGGTCTCCATGTCCATCAAGTGCAAAAATAAGACAGGTATCTTTAAGGTTTCTCAGTCTTCAAATGCAATTTGCCATTTTTTGTCTTTGTTTTGTTTGGGGATTTTTTTTCTATCATCCATTTCAGCTGGATTTCCAGCTGAAAAGGAACAAACTCCAACACTGGAATCATGTTGATCTCCAGCAGTAAATTTTATGTATAACCCTAGTTTGTTTGTACTTGAGACAAGATTAATGATGCTAAAAGTTGCTATTCACCAAAGGCCCAAAAATGGAACATGAAAGTGCTCTCAATGCAAAAGTAGGCATTTAAATGCATTCTGTGAGTCTCTAAATTACTGCGGGCTAGTCTCAAACATGCAAGAGGCACCCTGGACCATAAATTACACAGAACATCAGCAGAATTTCTGCTGCCAAAACTTCTGGCTGCTCTAATAAATCTCCCCACCAAAACACTGAAAACCCTTATCATAAATATTCCACATTTGTATAAACATGATTTACTGTTTCGGGTCCTGATTGGCAGTTGGGTTGTTGATTTTTGTTGTTGTAAGCCCCACCAAGAATAGATGTATTAAAAGTGGGGAAAGAGAGACATCATTTGTCCCTCTCAGTGGGAGCCCAGACTCACACACACAACTGTTCCCACCCACAACTTTGTGCCAATGGTCAGTGGGGAACAACTGAAAGAGTAATAAAAAATCAGATCAATTACTGCTTTTAGAAATCGCAAACCCATATACGTCAACAAACATTTGGTCAGGATYCTGAAGTATGGTTTTCTGTGTAAAAGAATTTTCCAGAATCCATCAGGGGTCTGGAGGCTTTGTTTGCCCCAAATATCAGCAATCTTTGAACCAAAAGTTAAATGTTTTCAAACACAACTGATGAGAGGGCCCYAAATGCAGCAGGGTTGCAAAACTGGTATCTGTGAGGTGACTTGCATATGCTCTTTTCCCTAAATAGAGAAAAAAATAGAAACCACAAGAAATCCTGGAATAGTATTAGGACAAGACCATTAAGTAAAAGCTTTTGTTGGTCTCATCATTTTGTTGGTGTTCATCTGGCAAGAAATACTGCTGACTGATTGCCAGGGCAGTATCTTCAGACATTAAGACCTGGTATCTCGAGTCTTAATTCAGAGGTACTTTATTTGCAAGTCAGTTGCATGAAGAAAAAAGCTTCTGAAGTGATTGGCACAGAGCTTTTCCATTATTCTTTCTTCTCAGTTTTGTGGAGTAATTTCTTTTCTTAGTTAGTGTCCTTTTACTAGGGGACAAATGGCGCAGATAGAAGCATGCAAATTCAAATACATTGGTCAGTGAAGGTGGGAAGTAATGCATTTTTCTGGGGATGGATTGCCAGGTTGGATGTGCCAGGATTTCCATCCTGTAGGTGACAAACTCAGACTCCTTCTAGCACCCACTTTCTCTATCATGTTAAGGAATTCAGGTTGTTCTCAGCTCCCAAGGTCTCCAGAGTCTCATGAAGAGGAGCTATGAAATCAAGTGAAAACCTTGAGTGTTGCCTCTCAGCCCAGTTCTCTGGGTAGTTGCTCAAATGCCTCCTGGCACTGTGCTGTCTGTACACCTTAACTCCTCACATGTCCTAAGATGATGCCTGGTTATCCCCAAAGCACAGAGTCCACATGGACACGRACTGTATCCTTCTGAGACAGGAGCATTTCCAAAACAGATGTGTCTGCATATGCCATGCATGTGAGGTGATACAAAGTAAGCATTTTCCACTATCCAGGCACATACACACAGAGAAAATACTTAAAATGCTCTTTGTCAAGTCATGTTTTCATTGTCTTTAGGCTTTTGTGGCTATCACGCTTCAAATATTTATTGCTGTCACTCACTCCTCCRTTTTGTAAATCTTGGAGTGGTCCTCTTGAGTTCAGGGCAGGTTTGAAAATAGTTATATCATACACTGTCCTACCCTGCCAACACTCTCTGCACTTCTGCATACAGCTTAGGGAATTGTATTTTAGCTTTTGCCACAGCCAAAGTCATATGCATTGCTCAGTGTGCTGGAGCCTACCTCCTCCCTTCAATTGGGTTTTGTGACAATATGGTGAAAGTTCTCCTGTGTAATGAAGCAAAACTGGGTAATATTGATAAATTAAGTCTGGAATTGAATAGCCCTTCTCTGGTTTGGGTTTTGGGGTTTTTTTTGTGTGTTCTATTTAGCGTGTTCTGTATAGCCTTCACAATGCCAGGTTTTACTATGCTGTACGTTTTGTTGCTGACAGCTTGTAATGGTCTCCTGAAAAGTTCTTCTGAGGAGAGCTGGAAGGATTACAGAATCACAGAATTATTTAGGTTGGAAAAGGCCTTTGAGATGGAGTCCAACCTTTGACTGACCACCACCTGATCAACTAGACCATGGCACTACATGCCGCAACCAGTCATTTCTTGAACACCTCTGGGGACAGTGACTCCACCACCCCTAGGCAGTCCATTCCAATRCTGAACAACCCTTTTCATGAAGAAATTCCTCCTGATGTCCAGCCTTTCCTGGCACAGCTTGAGGCCATTTCCTCTTGTCCTGTTGCTACTTGCCTGAGAGAAGAGACCAACCCCCACCTGGCTACAGCCTCTTGTCAGGGAGTTGTAGAGGATAAGGTCACCCCTGAGCCTCCTTTTSTCCAGACTAAACAATCCCAGCTCCCACAGCCGCTCCTCATAGGATGTACACGTTATTAGAAAATGGGGAAACAGCAGCTAAGRACAGACACAGTAGAGGCACCAAAGTCAGCCAGAGATCATGTTATTAGTAGATGGATAGTTCTACTAAATGTATTAGCAGCCATGGCATCCAYCTGGTAATCGTTAGGTTCCAGAGCAAATCGGATGTTGCTGAAATGAAACCTTCCAGAGTTGCCAGGAATTCTGCAGGCTCAGGCATCTCTCATATGCTCTCACTTTGGATTCCTGAGGCTTCCTCTGCACTCTTCACTCCTCTAACACATTTATATATTTGAAGTACACTTGAGATARGGGATGAATCCCACCAAAAAATGTGTAACTGCTGCATCACAATAGACCATGTTCCAGTGTCTGCAAGCAAGCCCTGAGGCACAGACACCACAGCTCCCTGTGGTGAACWGAGAGGTGTAACTCAATGGGCTGTCAGAAACCTTGCCTTGGCCCTTGTGAGGGTGTCAAGGTGACTGGGTTAAAATCTCTCCCCCTTCCTCCCAAGTGCAGAAAAGAGGTCCTCCTGAGACAAAGCATTGCTTAGAAATGGCTTCCCTTTTCCTCTGGCTTATTACCGTCCCCCTGTGTCCTGCTGACTCCTGGAAGTCATCCCAAATATCCTTCCCCCTGTGCAGGTCCCCACAGCTCCAGCTGCAATTAGACCTGTGGTTTTCAGAATTACTCTGAGCTCTTGCAGCAGTGGAGAAAATTCTGGCAGAAAAGGGGATGTTATATTATTATCACCAACATCAATATGCTGAAAGGTGCAGCTGCTTTTCCTTTTGTCTATTAAAATCATTTCCGTGTTTCGTGCACAGGAAGCAGAGGAAAAAGTTGCACGACCGCCTTCGGCAGAGCCTGCGCTCGGAAAGGAACAACGTGATGAACATGGCCAACGGGCCACACCACCCCAATCCACCACCAGATAACGTCCAGCTGGTCAATGTAGGTTCCACAAGTTCACCCTCAGCTTTTAAACATCTGTCTGCTGCAGGCTGGTGACTGATCTCTCTCAGCTTATTCCAGAGAGAAAATTGCCTACCACAAACTACTGCTGTCTTCTCCATCAGAGAACAGTATTTTTGGTGTATCTGATGGTTGCCTTTCCACATCTCTGTCTATTGGGACTTCTCGTTCCCTTGTTGAATACGTATTTATAGCTTGGGATGCAGACCTTTGCTCCTTCCCTCATTTGTCTCTTCCTATTTGGAGTCTAGATGGGCTGTGTACACAGAGATGTACATGAATGCGATCCAGTGTGTCGGTATGGTTTCTGCATGTATTTAAGCGACAAAAATTGTGCTTTGCCACACGTGAAAAGACTGGAATCTGGGAAGGAGGGATTGGGAATTACGTCTRCAAATGTGCTGTGAATTACAGTTTGTAAACCTGAGGTTTGTCTGGGCTTTTTCAGCAGTACGTTTCGAAAAATGTAATCTCCAGTGAGCATGTCATCGAGCGAGAAACAGAGACCTCGTTTTCTACAAGCCACTACACCTCAACAACACATCACTCCGTGACAGTCACCCAGACACCCAGCCACAGGTACAGGAGAGAGAAGGCGAATGCCAGCTGTAATGTCTGATCTGTTACTGTTGCAAAACCAAAAAGATGTGTAAAATAACAAACCGGGGGAAGTCTGTGCTCCCCTCAGAGTGTTTTCATTTTAAAAATAGCTATATTTGATGTCATATCACCTAACTAATTATCTTCCCAGGAATGCTTTATTGTCTTGAGTGGCATTCCAGTACTGTCACAGTGAATTTTATTRTATGCAGATTGCTAAATCAGTGACTGTTCAGACTGGAAAGCCCTCCCTCCCTCCTCCTTTTATCCCTACATGCAAAATCACCTTGATGCAGGTGGATTCATACAACTCCCTAAACTCCACAGCCCCAGTTGCCAACCCAAAGGTTATGCTGCAGATTCTGAGTGGCAACAGAGCCCCTCCTTTCCCTGGCTAAACTTCTTCGCGTACACCTTTGCCACCAAAGCCCACTCTCATGGTCCCCATTTCTCTTTTCCCGGTTGCTGCTTTCCAGCTGGAGTAATGGCCACACTGAAAGCATCCTCTCAGAAAGCCACTCGGTGCTCGTCAGCTCCTCCATGGAGAACAGCAGGCACGCCAGCCCGGCGGGGCCCCGGGGCCGCCTCAATGGCATCGGCGGGCCACGGGAAGGCAACAGCTTCCTCCGGCATGCGAGAGAGACCCCCGACTCCTACCGAGACTCTCCTCACAGTGAAAGGTAGGACACACCACCTCACTGAAAAGCCTGGTGTTCCCACATGGTTTCAAAGCTTGGGAGAGCTGAGTACGGGATACATCTCCTTTCTTGTAAAGGTGGAGAGCTTAGTASTTGTTTAAAGTCTACCAAATGCATTTCTTCCCTTCTTGCCTCTGCTGGATTTATTCTATTAGCTGGCAGTTCACATTTGGAAAAGCTCCATTGGAGTAATTAGTCAGAAATTTCCACTGTGAAGTATAAACAGAACTTTGCCTAATTACCAGTTTCTTAGAAGATGCAAGTGAGAAAACGGAGCGATTTTGTGTGCAGAAAGTAATGTATTGATCCACAGGAGGAGGGCATTAAGGGCTCCTAAGCAGAATAGAAATTATGCCACAGCCTACTTTCTAGGGAATTCCAGCTCCTAAACCCTTYAAAAATTCCCCTTAACCCTTCATTAGATAAAAGCAAGGAACACAAAGTGCAAGCCAGAAGGACTCAGATCATTGCTAAATCAGAAATAGTTATAAATAAAACTGGCCAGGAGTTTTCCAGGCAAGTAATTTTTTCTTTGAAAAGGCTGGTTTATCAGTTCCTAGGGTCTGCTTAGAAGTGCATCATTGCAAAAAAACTTTTTACTGAAAGAATCCTTCTCAGGTTTAGGCTAGCATGTACCTCAAGATGGCCCCAGAATAGCAAAAGAAAGACTGACAAGGAACATTTAAAGAGAGCTTTGGTCCCAGGAATCACAGGCAGACAAAAAGGAAAACAGAAGGTTATGGACCACTTCTCTGAGCACTTCAAAATTACAAGGGATTTGGCCTTGTGGGGGGGTCCATGATGTCAAAAATGCAGCCAGGCAATCCCCAAGGAGATTGAGTTGAGTAGGAGACAAACTGCGGTTTTCAGACAAATGAATGTGCAAGTAGAGCACATGCTATTTCTGTGATACCCCCTCTGCCAMACAAACTGATTAGCAACAAGGAGAGAGCCCACTGAGAAGGACCCTGAGTGTGGTACCACTAAGGACAGTAAACTCCTCTCTTCTTAAAAGTTACAAGTTATTTACCATGGAATTTAATTTGAAGATCCATGGCTCACATGACATAAACAGCAATGGCTCCAATCCAGCAGAGCACTTTGACAAGATTATCTTTTAATCGTGCAAGTAGGCCCACTGAAATCAGCAAGATTACTCACACGGATAGAGCTCAGCATGTRCTTAAGTGCTTTGCTGGATCAGGACCTGTAACAGTAAATACCATGCTGTCTCCTGCTGGGGAAGCAAGCAGGATGCACAGCCACGCGCCTGCCAATGGTGAGTGTCACAACTTAGTGTRTTTGGGCATCTGCATGTGAGAAGGGAAGCCCATTCTTGCTGTCTGCCTGTATTTCCTGGGGCACCCAAAGCATCGTTCTAATATGAACCGCTTAGATTTAATTTGGGGGGATGGAGTGGGAGGAGCATATTCCTTTCTCTCAGAAGAAAGAAGGCCTTTCATCCATTATTGTGTCACTTGAAGGTTGTACTACAGGTGGAAAGCAGCAACAGTTCTGTGATAATTCATCAGGCATTGACAGCCTTGCCTGTGCCTGAAGCGATCACAAATTTGGAACATGGGAGATGATAGTTCCCTGGGCATTAATTGCAAGCCTCATCTATTTTTAGCAAGCAGGAAATAGATGGCCAATTGTTCCTGAGATTTATTCTTTTTGTGTGTGGCTATAAGGGGGGAAAATGTGACTTATTTGGAACWAAAAATTACTCAGAAACATAAAGGAATGTAGGAGCTGATGAATTACTTCCTGAAGCCATCAAATGTTTCTGTGCTGTGAATTGGTAGAGCAAGGCTGTACTCCTTCAATTCTGAAATTTAATCAAATAGACATTACAAGAGGTTCTTTAGCATTATCCCATCCCTTTGCTGCATCCCATGCCTTGCCATCTGTGTACATAAGCAGAGGGCACAAGCAGTTTTATCTTGGATGTCCTTAGCTGTCTTACAGGAGAGAATATCAAAAAACACCATCTCTGCACAAAAGGCTTGTCTGTATGATGAAGGTGGCGGCATATAACTAGTTAATGCTTGCTGGATGGCCACGGATACACTCTGATCCCCTTTCACTGAGCCAGCACAGTTGACCATGAAGCTGGATAAATCAATCACCTTTTAACCTTCCTGTCAGGATGGGCTAGAGCTGCACCAGCTCCTGCGCYTCAGACAGCAGAGAGCAGCTAGTTAGCACTGCCCTGTTATGCTGTGGGGGAATACACCAGAACTGTGTGAATGTACAACACTCCAGTACGAGTAACTTGACACTGCTGGAAGCATACACAGTACATTGAACACATTTAACCAACTCAGGGCGTTAACAGAACCAGTTTAGCTAAAATCCAGTTTGTCATGGAGACGTTTATCCAACAGTGTACCAGCTGGGACTGTAGAAAGGCTTCAGTTTTTCGGACAATGCCTATTTTCAAATGTGAAAGGGATTAAAAGCTCACTCACAGAAGGAGAAAAAATTACTTAATTCATCCAATGTGCAGCCTATTCATTGCCCTTTGCTCAACCAACTTGGTTAATTTCCATACATTACTCCAGGTTTGGTTTTTTCCTTTCTCTTGCTGCTTTCTCTTGCTCCTCAGTTTGTGTAAATCAATGTGCAATCAACGTGCCTCTAGTGAAATCAATTTATGCTACTGCACAGCTATCCAGAATCTGTCCTGTTTTCTCCTTTTTCCCGGAACTCCTTTTTATYGAGTATAATATATGCAACTGAGTCATAGATTGGATAAGAAAGYTGGATGCAGGTTTATTTTGGTCGTTTCAGACTGAGATAAATCACTAATGAAAAACAAATAACTACATCAGTCATAGACATATAGCTTTTCTMAAATGGCCTGTGTAAGAGATGGAGCTTGGAAACATTTTAGCTTTGGATACAGCTGAAATTCAGGCAGGTGAATTTAGGATAAGAATGAAAGCAAAGCCAGACTATGTAAAGTGTCATGCTGGTCACTGTGCTTTTGATSAAGTGTTTTTGAGAGATCCTTACCTGGCATGAATCCACATGACCTCATAGCATGTTTGCTGATTCAAAACAATTGGGAGTCTCACATTTTTTGTTCTTTTTCTTTGGGACAAACCCTGTAATGCCACCAGAGATTCRTTTTTGGAAATCGCTTCTGACTATTACCCTTCCCACAGGAACAGGGACAAATTCTGCAGTGAGATCATGGGTGCTAGGCCAGACAATCCTGTTTCTCAGCATTTTTTCTTGTACAAGGACAAATTATACTTTCTGTTTCATTGCAGATACACCTACCAGTCAGGGTAATTAGCACCCAAGGAGCAGAGCATGGTGCTACAAATGCTTCTCTGACTACCCTTGGTGATTAAAATTAGCAGAATCTGGCTCTAGTTTTTATCTAAACATTACATTCCTCCTTAGTCTGAGACAGTCTGGTTGCCAGCAGAGGGTGAAGCCCCAAGAGGACTGTCCTTCAGTTCCCTTCCTTTCTTTCCCCCTGTCTGTTTGCATGTACCCCAGGTTCTGGTCAAATCCTTCCAGAAGTGCAGCAGCTGTTTTCCTTTTGAGAAAATACTTGCAAATGCATTTTGTTTCTGGCAGCCTTTCTGTCTCTGAATCCCATTCCTGGATTCATGCCAGAAAGTTATTCTGGCGAATAATTTACAGCATCTCCATGGCTCTTCTGAGGTGAACAGATCTGGGAGCTTTGCTGTGCTCCTCCTGGTTTCAAATGTTTTTGCCCAGAGTCCCAGAAGTCAGCAGTTTATAGGATTAATAGCAACAGGAAAGCTTCCTTAGCAGCTCTGTGTGGAGATGCTGGGGATCATGAGGGATCCCTGCCGTTTCTCTCCCAGTCCGCATGAGCTGCTGTGTTCACAGGTCGCCACTGCTGCTTGCAACCTTTCCCCATCTCTTTTCTTCAGGTATGTCTCAGCTATGACCACACCAGCTCGCATGTCACCCGTCGATTTTCACACTCCAACTTCTCCCAAGTCCCGCCCCTCCACAATGTCACCACCGGCTTCCAGCTTGACCGTCTCCATCCCTTCAGTGGCGGTGAGTCCCTTCATAGAGGAGGAGCGACCGCTGCTCCTCGTGACTCCACTGCAGCTGCACGAGAAGTACGACCACCACCTTCAGCAGTTCAACTCCTTCCACCACAATGCCGCCCACGAGAGCAACAGCCTGCCCCCAAGTCCTCTGCGGATCGTGGAGGATGAGGAGTACGAGACCACGCAGGAGTACGAACCAGCACAGGAGCCTCCAAAGAAACTCWCCAACAGCCGGAGGGTCAAAAGAACAAAGCCCAACGGCCACATTTCCAGCAGGGTGGAAGTGGACTCTGACACAAGCTCCGAGAGCAGCAGCTCTGAGACCGAAACCGAAGATGAAAGAATAGGTGAGGATACACCATTCCTGAGCATACCCAATCCCGGGGCGACCAGTCTGGAGCCAGCCACCGCCTTCCGGCTGGCTGAAACCAGGACTAACCCGGCAAACCGCTTCTCCACACCAGAAGAGTTGCAAGCAAGGTTGTCCAGTGTGATAGCTAACCAAGACCCTATTGCTGTATAAAACRTAAAACACATAGATTCACATGTAAAACTTTATTTTATATAATGAAGTATTCCACCTTTAAATTAAACAATTTATTTTATTTTAGCAATTCCGCTGATAGAAAACAGGAGAGGAAAAAACTTTTATAAATTAAATATACGTATGTACAAATGTGTTATGTGCCATATGTAGCAATTTTTTACAGTATTTCAAAAATGGGGAAAGATATCAATGGTGCCTTTATGTTATGTTAAGTTGAGAGCAAGTTTTGTACAGTTACAATGATGGCTGTCCCATAGTATTTTGCAAAACCTTTTAGCCCTCAGTTGTCCTAGCTTTTTTGTGCACTGCATTATAATGACTGGATGTATGATTTGCAAGAATTGCAGAAGTCCCTCTGGTCGCTTGCTGTAGAATCCCCAGATCAGAAAGCCCTGTAATGGCACTCCCACCCTACTCCACCAGAAAAACACACATATACACACACACAGAGTCAGAAAGATTAAAAAAAAGATAAAAAAGTTTAAAAATAAAAAACAAAAAAAAATTTCTTATATGAGAACTTTTATTTGCTTTCCGTATATGAGATGAGTTTTGTCTGCTCTCTGCCAGCCAAAAGGTTTGCTTCTTTGAGCACTGGGATAATAGTAGATCCAACAGCATGCTACTATTAAATACAGCAGGATAACAAAAAACATACAAACAAAAAAAAAAAAAAAAAAAAAAAAAAAAGAAAAAAAAAGAAAAAAAAAGAAAAAAAAAGAAAACATTTATATTAGTTTATGTTAATGGGGCAAATATAATAGCAGATATCTGTAACCAAGCAAGGAAGAGATCTAGCTGGAAAACAATGCCACTAATAAAAGTGCAATCAGTTTTCACCTCTATTTTTAATGTTGATTTCTAATACATGATTTATCATTTTTTAGTTTAGTTTTCTTCCCCTTTTTCTCTTATTCAGAAAGAACCCTGACAGGCTTCTARCAATACCTTGTTAGAGTTGCTGGTGGAGTAAGGCTTACTTTTGGACGCAGACAGGCCTTTCAGGGAAGAACTTGATTTGCTGAATGGTGAAAAAGTATAGGCACATTGGAAGGACATAGCTGACGTATGGAGTTTATTTCCACTCACCTTTATTGGGTTGAGAGAGGCAAGGCTGATGCAGAGCCCATATATGAAGACAAGCACACCATGTGGGTTACAGCTAAGGTATCCCACGTGTGATGATTTGATACCAGTGTTTATATAGCCAGGGACAGTCTCAAAGTCTTTGACTAGTAAGGAACAAGGATGCTGTCAGTGCTGGAGCAGATGAGTTCATCCAGACAGAAGCAAATGGCCTCTTTTGCACTGAATTCCTATCAGTTTAGTCAGGGTCACTCTTCCTCTTCTTTTCTTTTGATTTTTGTTGTGTGTTCAGTTGGCACAGCACTGACTCAGGATTGATGTGGAAAACAAATGTTTTTCCTAGACTCTGGGGATTCTGAAAATGAGAACATATGTTTTACAGGTATTACTGAGCTCTAAATAAGAGCCCTGTCAAGAGAAAAAGAATTTCAGCCAAACTACACTCATCCTTTGGGCCGCATTCTGGTCCCAGTTAAATGAAGAGAAATATGTCAAGGAAATTTTGTGAGATGCAAACCTGAGGAACTAAAGTCCCAACTCAGTAAATTGTTCAAGCATATGTTTATGCTAATCCCAGCAAAAGTTACCTTCAGCATGAGCTAGACTCCCATTGACACATCCAGCCCATGCACGAAGTTAAGCATGTGCCTAAGAGTTTTGCTGAACAAGGTGTCCTATTGATTTGAGACCAGAAAGCAAAGTATAGCAAATGAAGCTCTTCACCATCATCAGTGAGTTCCTCACTGTACAAATAAACATATCACATTGGTAAGAATACCTGAGTCTACCTGAACACCAGATTCAGCAGAAAAAGAACAAAAAATCTTAGCAYAGGAAACAAGGATGTTGGTGGTAGACTCAGAAGGCTAGGAAACTAGCACAGCTTTGGGCTATGTATGTGGTGGCTGAAATGGCACTGCTTATTTGAGAAGTTTGTGGGAGATGGCACATACATACTGTCTGGACTTAAGTCCCCTTAGCCATTTTTCCCTMGCTGGCATGTACTTGAACACACTTTGCCTTTGCAGATCGAAACAAAAGCTCTCTACAAATTCTTAGACACCATACTCATTTTCATCCCTTTAGTCATGCCTGTTTATCTGCAATCCCATGCAGCAGAATATCCACCCCCCCAGCAACTCTGCAACTCAGTAGTACAGAGGGCCAGGATGGCTTTCCTAAGGAAGGCCACGAGTTTCCAGAGGATTTGCACCGTTGAGTTTCCAGGGCGCTTGAATATCTGTCCTTTCAGGAAGGCCTCTGATAGGGCAAAGACCTTGCAGGACAGAAAACAGGTGGCAGAGAAACAAGAGATTTGCCCCAGAATCACCCATCTTAGTGGCAGAATAGAGATTATAACACAGGTCTTTTGTAAACTCCTCCGGTATAGATCACCCACAAGGCCAGGTCTCATTGAAGTATCTATAATAGCCCAGACAGAAAAATCAGGATGGAAAGGGAACATGCCTTGAAGTTGAGTAAATTATTTGACTACTRACACTGTTATTATAGAGAGATAGTACAAAATGAAGGAGCAATTCTGTATTTGGGAGCTGTACATGTGAGATTTATGTGGTATAGGTCTAGGGAAAAATGTGACACTTCTCCTGTTGCAGTGCCTCAAAGTCAAAAGGCTGTGCAGTTCCTGCCCTTCCTCCCCCTCGGAACATACACAGTGTATAGGGCAAGCATGAAATTAGGCTGGAGACTTCACATGGACCTAAGAACAAGAAAATACAATTGGGGATATGGCTGCCTAAGCCCTTAGATCCTTGTGAAGAACCCAGCCTTACAGCACAATTCATGCAGCAGCGAGTTCGGGAATTGCCCTGGCTTGGCACACACAGAAGTGGGAGCAGGACACAGACCCTCACCTCTCAACCTGTGTTTATCACACTCTGAGGGTGCTTCACATCAGTCAGGTCCACAACCAGAAGTTAGTGAGCCTACCTGGCCACAGGTGCTGCTGGCAGGCTGCAGCCAGCTCCTGCTGGCCAAGGGGTGGAGGCTGCAGCAGCACGGAGCAGAGCCAGCAAGTGCCTATGGAAAAGGCCAGCTCCCCTATTGGGGATATTTGCTTCATTACCCAGACCTCTGAGCTAGGCAGTCCCAACACCCTTAAGCCACCACTGTGTAATCCTTGCCAGCTTTTTGGCTGAAAGTTATGGCAAGAAGAAACATACTTTGAAGAGGGGGAGAAATATTCCAGTGGTGGCAGAGTTGTTGAGATTGTGCTGGTTTACTTCCATGTTGTTTAAGTTGAGCCATGAATTTTCCCTGTGTATGTGTTTATATGCAGGAATTGTTCCAGGATAAAAGGCTTCTTTTCAAGGGTGTATAGCTGAATTATGTTGTGCACAACCTGGCAAACCTGCCTGTTCAGGGGGTGTAAATCGTTACAGCTCCATAGAGGTTCTCATGTAACAGAGAAAAGCCTATTTCCTCCTTTTGGCCCAGTTATTCCCTTCCTCACTTGAGCCACCCCAACACACCCAGGTTGAAGAGATCAATCACTGCCTTTATCAGGGACACAGGAAAGCTCCTTCTTTCCAGTACTTCAGAACAACAATGCTGCATCTCCCTGCTTCTCTCACACACATTGCAAGCAGTTTCCTGGGCATCCAGGATAGCAAACTGGTGTCTCCATAAAGGATACACCTCTCAGCCGTTGAGCACTTCTTGGCCCTGCAGTGTGGTTCTTACCATCACCTGGGACTTACTTCTAGTAAGAAACAAAAAAGCACCTATGAAATGCTGCAGAGAAGGGCAGACAAAGAACATGGCCGATTATCATCATTTGTAATTCTCTATTCTATTGTAAATACATCTTGTACATACGTGGATGTTTTCATTATTTACTGTCTTTATGGATATTGTGTTAAATGAGACACTCTTAGTTTATTGTGTAACACTGTAAATAACATAACGTCCTTTATTATTTATGCATAGGCATCTAACACGCAGAGAAAGTTATCCTCATATTATTTTAAGATATATGTCAAAAAGATGTTGCATTTTCCTTTTGCTTTGAAAAAAATTGTAATATATCCTCTTTTTCCCCTCTTTTCCTTTAAAAAAAAAAGAATGCTAATTTATTGTTCAGGAGAGAAAGGGGATGTAACTGAAAGGCAAACTGTTCAAAGAACATGCTATGGAAGCCACAAGCTACTGATAAACTAAAGAATTTATTACCCCAAATACAGCAATAAGTAATTGTTGATTTATTAAGGTTTTGTTATTCATTTTCAGTAAAAGAGGTGCTGGATTAAATTGTTTATGTGTGGTCCTGGCCCAGCTGCTCAGCAGACTGTGTCAGGTCACCAGCTACCATCCTTCTGTATCCAAACATTGTTGTAAAGGTCTTGTTCTGTTTTGTGGACCACTTTTCCCTGAGATTTCTGACTCATCCCTACAGAGGTCTCTGGCAGACACTCTTGTTCCTACATACATTTTTAGTTTCTTAAGTTAGAATTATTAGCCCTACCCTGACCATTTCCACTTCAGATGGATGGGGTTTGGGTCGGGGGAGGAGTTGGGGGGCAGAAATGACACAGTCTTGGGACTGTGGGAGCCTGCTCTACAGAAATGTCAGCTCACTGTTCAGCAACAGTCAATAAAGCAAAGCAGATACTGGAAACTATTAGATGGAATATAATGCCACTATATAAATTCATTACTTGTGCAGGCCAAATACAGTAAGTGGTCCTGGTCTTCTTGTCTCAGGACAGAAGTAATATCATGGGGAAGGGTTTGAAGGGCAACTCTGGTGAGTAAATACCTGAAGCTCATGGTATGAGCTCTCATGGTATGAGAAGCACTGGGTAGGCTGGGGGCCATTTTCTGAAACAAAGGACGGCTGAGAGAAGATACCAAAGGTCTGTAGGAACATAATTATCTTGAAGAAGGTAGGAAAGGACTTGATGTTTAGTCCCTCTTCCAATAAAGAAATGGAGCTATCAGTCAAAACTCTTTCTGGGAACAGTATTCCCAGAAAGATGCAGCTCTTCATTTAAGATGGAGGGAACTTGGAGAATTACTTGTTGCAAGAGGTTGTGGATTGTAAAAGTTTCCATGGGTTCAATGAAGATTACCAAATCCATGAAAACCACATCAGATGTGGGAAATAACTGAGCTGGAAATTGGTGGAGATTGTGTAAGTTGGAAATACTGTGTATATTTGCACTACTTTTACCCTTYTCCAACTTTCTACCGTACGTGGAGAGAAGGAAGGCAGATATCCGATCTGGCTGTGCTTACTGATATAAATACGTAAAGTCATTTGCTGTTAATGAGCATTAAATAATAAGAAGAAAGCTAGGCATGARCAGAGGAGGGAGGAATGCAGCAAAGACACCTTGGATGTGTTTCACATCCATTT